CGAACTAGCTGCCCATTCAGCAGCAGGGAACGGCTATTACTATTCCTGTAGATAAAATCACTCAAGCTGTGAAATGCTTGAAAAATGGAAAGGCTGCTGGAGTTGATGAAATCTGCCCTGAGACGCTCAAAGCAAAAGGTGAACAAGGCATGTGCTGGCTTGCGTGTCTGTCAGACTGCACTTGCTACGGGGAAGGCAGTAGCGGACTGGAGAACGAGGGTTGCTGTACCTTTTTTCAAGAAGGGAGATCATATTGAGTGTTTTAATTAACAGTGCATTATCTTATTGAGTCTCCCGGATAAAGTCTATACAAAGATGCTAAAAAAAGGTGTGCGGAACATCTAATTCCAAGATACAAGATTAGTGTGGCATGCAGTCCGGCCTTAACATATCTTACCAGATATTCAATCTATGTTAGACTGCTGAGAAATCATGTGAGTTTGCTCACACGATATGCATGACAGTTGTTGACCTAGAGAAAGCTTATGAACCGATCGACTGCGACGATCTATGAGCATGCCTGCGAACATACGGGATCGATGACCAGTTGCTAGGGGCCTTTCAATCACTATATGCTGATACCAGACGCTGCCTCAGAGCAAACGGCGTTATATCGAAACCTTTTAGCTTTGGCACTGGTCTCCGCTAAGGCAGCGTTCTGTCCCTTCGCCTGTTTCTGTTGTACATGGATAAAATAATGAAGCGTCGTGAAAGCAACGAGTGTATCAATGTAGGAGAGGTTGCTGTTGCAGACGACCTTGTTTTATTAGCATCTTCTGAAACTGATCTAGAATGCTACGTGGGAAGGTTCGCAGCCAAGTGCGACGTGACCGGCATGCGTGTGAACGCATCTGAAACGAAAAGCCTCGTTCTCCTGCCCGTTGCTCTCTTCAGATCAACGGAGAGGCAGTGGAGCAGGTGGAGAAGCTCAAGTACCTCGGAGTGGTATTTACTAGTGATGGAAAATTGGAGGAAGAGATCGACCAGCGAGTTGGAGTAGCCAGCGGCGTTCTGCGTGAACTAGCCCGACCCACTGTGACTAAAGCAGAGCTCAGTCTGAAAACTA